ATTTTGAAATAAAATGGACTTACCTTATTGCCTTGTTGTTTTCTTTGTTTATTCCTAGCGTCTCAGGCCATTTTGAAGCGGTTTCTGCGAGTTAGCACTATGTTGGTGTTCAACTGCTAAAAGAAATACAACTTTGAGAGTAAAACTCATGATTTCCTCCTCCATAGACTCCAAAAATATGACGATTATATTGATTTGTCTATACTTTAATAGCACAACTATAAGACCCCAGCTTGCTCTGTTTTCTTGCCGTATCTTAAATGTATTAATGTAGTTGTAATTTGTCTAGAATTTTGAATCTCTTGCTCTGTAAATCTTTTTATTTTATATTTTATAATATACGTATTAAACACTGCCCGCCTCGACTAGCCTTTGCCAACTGCGGGCAGTGCATATTTATTGTAATATTGTAATATACCATTGTCATATATCATTAAACTTAAAGCTTGTTAGCGCTATCTTTCTTTTAGCAGTTGAACACCAACATAGCGCTAACTCGCCGAAAACGCTTCAAATTGGCCTGCGACGCTAGGAATCAATAAAGAAAACAACAAGCCAATAAGGTAAGTCCATTTTATTTCAAAACAAGACATTTTTTCTCTCTTTTAATGCAAACCGATAACATCCCATACAAACCTTTATAAATATAAAACCGGCGTTGCGCAACACGGTAAGAGTCACGTCCGCTTTTCTACTAGTGAGCTTGGGCTGCCTGTGGTCCGAGACGCTGACCAATCGACCATGCTGCCTTCAGCCGACCATGCTGCCTTCAATGCTGCATTAGCATTTCATCAGTTCTCTACTAGTCTGGAAAAGTCGGCTATAGTACTTCTACTATTTTTATTCTGCTTGGGTTTATTTTTTTTAATCGAGAATAAAATTGCAATTACATAGATATTTCCGTCAAGTGGTTAAAGTTGTTACGAATTACCTTGGAATCACTGAGATGTTTAAAGGTCGAAATTATCGTGCAGCTAAATTGGTAACAATTTTTCAGATTTTATCAGGCTTTCGAAAGTCATTTGACGTGATTTTAAGTATCTTTGGTCACTAAAGACTTATCGTAAGATACGTAGTTTAATCTGGTTACAATTCCCCTTTCCTGAATCGCGGTGACTTGAGCAGCACGGCTGCCAGTGTTATAATGATGGTGATGAGATAGATCCAAGCAAAGAGGCGATTAATAATCATGGCTGCCATCCTCCATTCCTCCCTCATGGCGTCTTCTTCTTCTTTCTTGAAGATGTTGTCTGTCAGAATCGTCATGTTCGTTTGCTCCTTGCCCCGGTTTTCACGCAGCCTTACTGAAATAGAAAGAAATAAATAGATGAATAAACTAAGATAAATAAAATAGAATAAAAAGGTAGGAACTCAAACGTTCTCGCAAAATGTGACTAATCTGATTGCCGGAATTCAGTTCAGGGGTATTCAACATCAGGACTAGACAAGTATCCTTGTTTGGTAATGTTTAAAAATTTCATTTAGAAACCTGCTCAGTCAGAGAAGAACATGAATGTAATTTGAAATTTGGAGATACTACAAAGATTTGTGTCTCCAGTCATACAATGCAACGTCTGTAGGCGTGGATTTTTTCGGCCTGACGCTTTTCCAGAATTAGAAGCTGCACAGACAGAGAGAACAGAAGGACACTTACACTGATGTCTTTTGCATTTAGATTTTCCGTCAGGTGTCATATCAGTGTCTGTGTATCAGGAAATTATTGCTTCTTTATTTGGCGTTCTTTATGTATTATCGTAATCTTAAATGTTTCGTGTTGAACCGTTGGTTGTGGGGTAGAATTAACCATGCCCACTATTGGCGAGAAACAATAAACATTACAGTCTAACCTTGTCGCCACTCCTGGACGATCTGCGCTTGTCGGACGCGTCCAGCAGATGTGCTTAAACGCACCAGGCGTGCGCAGTAGTTAAGGACACAGACCTATCATGAATGAAAGAGAACAAGGCCTTTTAAATACGCTTTATCATCTCGTTTTATGCTTGAATAGTTATTTTTTTAAATTAAATTGGAGATAATAGAAAACCGGTCTGGCCAATGTGGACCATTCAACATTTGTGACATATTTGGCAAAAAAAAGTATTCCTCATGTTGGTGAATACGAAACTACAATTGTAAATTGATGTTCAATTACCCTGATCCAGTCGGGAATTGGGGCCGAGGAATTGTCGGGATGGTAAAAACGAAGCATGAGGCAAGCCATTCCCATCGCTGCTGACACTTCAATGATAGTGCACGCATAATAGACAGCAATTAGTGGGGTGACTTTGGAGGTGGAAGGAAGCTTTGCCTACAAGAGAAAAAATACAATCTCTTGACCTTTGCAAACGCACTGCCTCTCAACCATAAAACAACCATAGCTTGCAGCCAGTTCATCTTTTCGCACAAGTGGCTTCAAGGCGTGAAATCTCCCCTTGCCTATTTCCCTCAAATACGCATACTGATCACGAGTGCATCATGCCGAATTGCGTGAGGTTTGATATAAGTGCCCAACTCTCTCACTTTGTTGGTGCCTTGTGGCTTTTTCGGTTTGAATACCAACGCTACAGAATTTGAGCTAAAGGATATCGCGTCACAGGAATAAATGACACGTAAGGACGGACACTTCAATTGGTGATTTACGCTATTTAGACCTGCGTATGTCACCGATCTGGATCGGTGTGGGTTAAAATTTAAGATTCAATTAAAAATTCAACTCGATGAGCCCGAATTTAAACTTGCTCACCATCAACATCAACAGCAGAATGGTAAAAGACAGCAAGACTGTGACTCCAAAAGACATTCTCTCCCCAGACTCCGGCGGTAGCAAGAACACAAGAAGAGTTAGGACTGCAATCAGTACGCATGGCAAAATGAAATTCATCATATAAAATAGTGTGCGTCTGCGTATCTGCACATGATACGTCACATCCGGGAATTCCCCATCACAGCAATCGTACGTTAAAAGTCTGCGTTCTGATTTTACGCCGAGAAGAATCCATTCACCATTTTCGACGTACCTGCATTTAAGAGTAATTCATTTATATCGCAATAATTCCCCTAAACTGGAATTTAACAGCCTGGGGCCCGTTTCTCGAAAGTCCCGGTAACTTAACGGGCCCGAAGTCATGTTTTAAAATCAAAATTTAAATTATAGGAAAGCAGGTTGTGGCACCCAAACCAGTCCTCTTTATTCCTTTAACTGATAGTTTTATTGCATCATTTTCAATACTTTTGAAATTCCCATCTTGAATGAAAACAAAACAGCTTTATGGGCCCGTTAAGTTACCGGGACTTTCGACGAACGGAACCCTGGACCTATGTCATTTCTAGAGCACATTAAGAGCCTGTGTGGAGTAAAACTTTTTGCATACGCGACTCCACATGACTGCCGAAAGATATTATCGTTAGTATTTATTTAAGCATCGAAAGTATCTTTGAAAAACTTACGAACTTAGATCCGCACCATCTCTCCGGGGATAAACATCCAAGAATTCACTGCTGTACGACCACGAACCAAATCTGAGCTCACAAGTTTGGTCATCCAATGGGAAGAAGGTGATGTCAATTTCGCAAGAACTTGTGATAATTACTGGGTTCAACCTCGATACATTACCATCATGCTTCACGACCAGGCGAGCTGCGGTGCTACGCCCATCTGACATCACTTCAGCACTAAAAAAGAGAGGGGTTTTTTTGTATACAAATTTCATTTACAACACATATTACTTACAATACATAAACTCTATTACAATAAATTACCTAAAATGCATCACTTACGATACATTGCTTACAATTAAACTATATTTATCATACTGTTTACAATCATGCTAACGTTAATCGAATGCTATATTACTGACGTTACAATAACATCAAGCTCATTTTTTCTGAATACCTTACTTGTATTAAAATTCGCGCAGTACTAGAATTCGCGCACAATATAAGTGCGCGAAATTTCATACAGTGCCAAATATAATCCGCGCGAAAAGGTTATAATTTAAATATAAACTTTATTGATAACTACAAAATACTATTACATGGCAATATTACAACAGTTAACAGTACCACTGGATACTTATGAGTTTTTCGGTGAGAATTAGAGGTTGGTGTTTTAAACGGCAAGTTACCCGTTCTATTTATGCGTACTCAGATTACCATCAAAAATTAGAAATAAAAAATGACTTCATCATCATCTTCTTCAACCTGAGAAATTTCTGTCGGGATTCTTTCTGGTTCCATGTAATATTCCACCAAAAAATACACCAGTATTTTCTTCACTAATTACTTTTATTGTTAATGTTATCATATGCAATACCATCTGCGTGAACGGAATACAAATAAATTGTTGTTGATTTCACCTAACTGAACAAACCATGCGACATTCTTCTGTAGTCAACCAAACAAAAAAAATTGCTTGAAAAAATGTGCCAGCAGCGGGCGGTGAAAAACTTGCTTTAGGTTTACGCGAATTCTGTGCTATTCTTTAATTGTGTAATGAAAAAAAGGTTAACTGCATCTGTAAACTCTAGTACAGAAACCGAACACGAAAAATGTCCTCCGAGAATAAGTCCTCTATATGGTGCCCGAAATGAAATCGCGCGAAATTAGAACTGAACGAAAATGAGTACCACGCGAGTTTTAATACAAGTAGGGTATGTTTCAACGTTGCTAGGCACACTTGCAATACCTCCTCTAAAGTAAGAGAGAAGGTATTGGCTCTATTCATTCTCACACGCTGCCATTACATAATGTTTTAAAATGAAACGATTTCTAGACTCTTTCAAAAACCCTGATAGCTTTTCGTGTGAACGGCACGAGCACCCATAAGTAAAGAGATGAAAGACTAATCGTTTTCGTCGACGGTTATCCCGGCGGCTCCATTCAGCAAGCTCAAGACGAAACCTTTATACTACATCTGGTGAGAGTTTGATATCAATCATTAAAGATTCGTTGCAATACCTCCAGTAACAATGATATGAGGGGAGCAGCAGGGATAGGTCTTGATCAAATCACGTTCAAGTGTAAACACGATCGCTTTCCAGGAGGCTAGATCAGGAGGCCAGATCAGGAGGCCTGTATACCATTTTCCCGACCTTGATAGCATCCGCGTAACTTAGCTGAAATGATCGGAATCGTGTTGCCGATTTAAAAACTGGCCCAGACATCGGGTTAAGTCTCACCTGTTTAATAACACAACATCTGGTAACCAAGCTTTCTCAGGGTTGATGATGATCTGTGAAATGTTTCCATACTCAGCTTTGTTCCAGGAGAATCTCGGATCATTCCAGAACTGAAAGATACAACAAAATTCAAATCAGTTCCAATTTGGTAACCGGAGTGTAAGCTTAAAGATATAGGGTCATGGTTAGGGATTAATGAAGTTCACTTCTCCATTAGTATTATTTCCAAGTGGTCAGTTTCACACTCAGCTGCAGCTCATGTGCCACTCTTTCAGTTCTTGCCGCATTTTGACGTCACATTTGATCTGTTGCTGAACAGACGTACCGCAACATGGAATCTATTTGTGAATAAAGATCATTATGATATTTACTAAGGTAGGGCCATCATTTTGCTAGTTTATGAACGAATGAGTGGATTATGCATGAAAGCGATCCTCGCAGTTATAAACCCTACTCCTGTAGTAGTGGAAGTAAGGCCTGAAAAAAAATTCAGGCCCGTACGGGATTTTAACCCATGACCTCTGCGATACCGGTGCACTTCTCCACCAACTGAGCTAACAAGCCAGCTGGGAGCTAGTCATTAGTTATCAATAAAGACTGATGGTTTCTAAAGAAACTGTTTGGGGCTGCGTCGGTGGGGGTAACGAAATAATTTGGATATATCAACAAAGTTGAAATGGTAAATTGGCCACCGTAACGATTACAAAAGCTGACGTTTCGAGCGTTAGCCCTTCGTCGGAGCAAAAAGAGGAATTGTGGGTTGTGTGTGCTTTTAAAGGCAGAAAATGGAGATACGTTATTGGTGGGAACATGGCAGCGACAAAAACACGAATAATGTTTTTCTCGCTGCCATGTCTAGATACCGGTCTAGATGGGAAAATCTAGACCGCTTTCAATATTGATTTCAGCCAATCAAATTCGTGAATTCGGTAGTTCCCAGTCCTTGTGAGACAGCCATATAATAAGTGGGTTTGTATTAAACCCGTCGACGTGATAAATATGAAAATCATATATGTGTACTGCGGTTTCACGAAATGTATGAAAGCGATCCGCGCGGTGATGAACCCTACTTATGTAGTAGTGGAAATAAATAGAAATAAGTAGGAGAATAAGTGGTATAGCTTTGCTTTTTATCTCTTACCTGCCTTACCCATACGTTTGTGGTGATTACTTCTTGTTTTTCATCCTGTAGTAAATATATCGGCGTTAGTTGAACACATTTTAAAATAATCACAACAGTGGGAGCAAACGACCGCTAGAAATAAGACAACTATTATACCACTGGCACAGCCAGTCTCCTGTTACCAAGCTCTAACCTCCACGATTTCCTTTTGCACACCACCAGGTGGGAAGAAGGGGTGGGGTGGGGGGGTGTTGACTAGGATGGTGTTAAGAATACCCTCGCAATTCTAACTCTCAGCCCCTTGGGGCTATTTTTCACCCACTGTTTCCAATTTTCTTGTGGGTTTTTAATTCTTTTTGGTCAGATGAAAACTGGAAAATCCAAAGAAAACTCTTTTGATATACAGCGAAGAAAGGACTGGGCTCCTGACAAAGACTGAAAACCCGCCATGCAAGGAATACAACCGAATCCACTACGGTGAGAGGTGAGCATATTTACTTATTTAGCATCCCCTATTCCATGAACCAGTTGTTGTGAATTCTTAACACCCTAACGATCTTTGGATATTTCCCATACTGTTCTCTAACGAGAATGATTCGACAGTAACATGTAACATGCTTCTTAAGTTGGTGATTCATTTTCTTTCTGCTCATAAACGTAATGTTTGATTTAGGGGTGAACTGTAAGGAAAAATTAAATGCAAGTCTTACTTCATAGGCATAATACACGTAACAAAGGCAATTTTAGATTACCATGTGTCAAAAGAAATTGGGGGAAGCAAAGAACACAATATCATGCCGTTTCCGATTTTAACTCCCTCAGTCAGACGATCAAAGACTCAAAGAATGTCAATAGTTTTAAACGTAATGTTTTAAGTTTTTAATATAGCTACTTACGTTTAATTTTTATCTACACTTATTTTTAATTTTTATGCATTTTTTGTATCCCTTTAATCCCTTTTGCAATTTTGTTTTTTTGTTTCTACTATATATATCTAGTTTCGAGGTCCTTTTTGAAAACCATATTTGTTATGAAAAAGTTTCCTCAATAAAGATGATTCCTATTTTTTTTTTAAGTTACTCTTTGGGTTAACAGTCTAATGATAATCTCCTATCCCATAGATCTTTCAGGTTTGGACATTCTTAACCTTTAATAAAGTGCAAATCAGTTCAAGGCAAGCAGTTTACAGCCCTTTCCCTTTGATCCATCCAGGCTGTTCATCTTTATTGGGTCTTGGCTTTGTTACACAGGTGTCAAAGAAATACCCACAATCAGTGAACATATCTCAATGACCCTATTGCTAATTAATTTTTGGAACCATTACTTAGGGTGGACCATTAGAAACCTGATGAGGCTTGGATCTAGGGGGGGTGGGAGGAAGATAGTGATTTTAGTTGATGCCAAATTTTTGTTTTCTCACCATGTAAACCTTTTTCCTTCTGCTATGGGCAACCTTTTTTCTTGAAAATGCATAAACATTTTCTTCTCAATAATTTACTTGGAAAAAACCTTTAATCAATATATTTTCCCCACCCCCTAGCACACACAACATTTTGTTGGCAGTCTATCCCTTGAAGCCAGTGACCTCAACTCATAACCATATTTTCAAATGACTAATAATTATCTAACAAGGTTAGAGGTTCCTTTTTTATTTCATTTTTCAAAACTTTGTAAAAGTTGTATCATGATAAAGGGATATAAGTTGTGTTAAAAAGCTCTGTCATTGAGCTCATGTTCTTCATAAAAGTTCATTCACGTTTGCATGATAAAGACAATAAGGGTGATAATGATCAAACAATATTGAACTTTATGGGGAATGATGCACCCGCGAGAGAATGTGCCTACCATCATGGTGACCCAGGTTTGACTGCCTAATTAACCTGAAGAATGTCTAGATTGTAAGTTGGGTTTTTTTAGTGTTCCCTTCCAGCTTCTGATTTTATTTGGGCTTCTACATGTATCAAGACTCAAAGCTCCAATTCAACCTGGGGTCAGTGGAAAAATCGTCTAGGAATGTGCAACTGTGTACTCTCTTTTATTTTTTCCTTGTAGATTTACTAATAATGGTCAGAACAACGATGAAAACATTTTACAGTAATCAACAATTAAATACTATGGACAGTTGTGAGCCACAGTTTGGAAATAAGTCACACTCATCCGCTCTGCTAATGGTAAACAGGATATACTTATTTTCCAAAGCCGTACATTTTGGAGAAAATCATAGTAATTTAGGCAAGGTTTGTGAAAGAATATACTTAGGTAAGTCTTATTCATTAGACATCCATGCTGGTTTCTTATCATGTCATTGGTACCCTATATTCTGCTCTCTACATGTACATTAAAATATAACAACAAAAACATTTCTAAACGAGAGGTTAACCTTTTCACTCCCTTATGTTGGTTTGGAGAACTTGGTATTGGATCCACTAATTATATCTCTAATCAATATTCTCCTTTATTGTCATCACTTGTCTGCTTAGTATTCTATTGATATTGTAAGGAAAAATTTTGTCTATCACTGATAGGAATTAAATGGTCAATGGTTTACAAGACCAACCAAGGATTTCAATTTCAATTAACACTTTTGCTTTACAACAGTGAATAAAATCTAAATTCTTTCTTTTTCATTTCCATTCTTAACTATATTTTTCTCTGGAAACTGCATACATGAAGTTTGAAGGAAAGAAAGCCCTTCAACCATGGTGCAAACATGGACCCACCTATCCTCTTGGACAACATAACACTCTACACTGTTAAGGTAATATCTTTGGTGGTTAATATCTTCTCTTCCAAACAGATACACAGTATTTGTCACACTGACTATGCCACATGCAGCACGTGGTACTATAGGGCTTGAAACCAAACTCCATTGATTCAAACATTTGTCAAATATTTCGCAAGTTGTTTCAATTCTTGTAAAACCCATGCCACTATAACCACCTATAACAATGATTTTACCACTGGAGATTGTTGCTGCTGCAAAATATTTTCTTGCATTGTTCATATCCAAAACCGGACTCCACTGATCTCTTGACGGATTGTAGCACTCCACACTCCTTAAACACACATTATCATCAGTACCATCCATCTCATAGATGACCTCTCCAATGACAACTGCACAGTGCGCTGCTCGAGAAAATGTCATTGGTGACAGAAATTCCCATTCATCAATGTTAGATTTGTACTTCTTAACTTGACGCTTATCACCAGAATTTTCACCAATCGGGTATAGTTCTTCTTTAGGGCCACCAGTGTACTATGTGGAAGCGATGGTAAGTTCTTTTTGGAAGTAAACCACTCATTTCGAACAGGCCTGAAGTAACATAATGGGGCCTCTGATTGATCTCCGACCACATACAACTGACCACCACAAACAGCAGCAGCATGTCGTGTTCGAGGACATGGCATCGTGGGCAACCGTAACTGTGAAATGTTCAGCAGGCAACCGTGGATGATACTCCTACTCTTGTACGTTGGATCAGCGATGATCTGATCGGCCTAAAATAACGAATATGAAATATAAATATAGAGGCAAGACCGATACAACGTAGATAGGTAAATTTTAAGACGGAGCACTGTATTTCGGCTGGCCAAACCAGCCTTCTTCAGGTGCAGAGGGAATTAACAGAGAATTCTCAGTTAATTTCCACTGCACCTGAAGAAGGCTGGTTGGCCGGCCGAAATATAGTGCTCCGTCTTAAAATTTACTTATCTACGTTGTATCGGTCTTGCCTCTATATTTATATTGCAACCGTAACAACTTCTTTGCAGCAAGATCAAAGCCAAGGGTGGTGGATGGGAAGGAAGTTGATCTTAACGTTTGACCACCAGTTACAACTACCACTGTCTCCTTACGTTCAAGGCATGACCGAGGCCTTGGCAACAAAACTCGGTCTTGAAAAAGAAAAGCCCTGAGCCATTGAATCAAAATTCTCATGCATGCTGGGCTCTTCATAACCAACTCTTCTTGATCAATGATCCGTTCCAGGCTGCACTTTGACATCAAAAAAGCTCTCACGCATTTCAGGAGCTCTGGAAGCAAACACTCTCGCGATGAGACTTCGTGCTTAACCCAAACAATCACTTCTTCGTAAACTTCTTCCTCTCATGTAGAGACCACAATTTCGTCGCGTGAGATTAAAGTGCCCATAATGTGAAAAAACGTTTTTCGCTCATCTAATTCTACACTTCACTAAATGAACTTCGGGGAAAGTTTTTTTCGATTTGGATAAAACACGATTTTTTTACGAATTTTTACAAAGTTCAAAATTCTATTTTCTTGCGGTCGACCCCTGCCGCTGATCACAAGAATAACGTGCTCAAAATGACCACGTGATTGATGTCTGTGACGTAGGTTCAGGAACCTCACTTGACCTTAAAGTGCATATAAATACACTGGTCGAGTGCGAGTCGTTTACGATATTGTGACCTTACGATATTGTGACCACTCTGAAGCAAATTCCCACTTTTTTTCAAGTCAGATAAGTCACAACCCAAAATCACGTGTTCCTGAACCTACGTCACGACTCACTTTAAACCGCGGAAGACTGGTGTGAATGATGGACCAAAATGGCGACAAATTTGAATGTCTTTTAAAAAATTATAAAAAAATTGCGTTTTATCTAAATCGAAAATTTTTTTCGCAGAAGTTCATTTGGTGAAATGTCGAATTAGATGAGCGAAAAACATTTTTTGACATTATGGGCACTTTAATTCTTGTACTCTCTCGAGGTCCAGTGATTTAAAATCGTCTGTTTTCACCAAAGAAAGGAAATGTTCCATCTTATAGGAGACTAAAGCCTGCTTCAATGAATCACCGTTAAACTGCTGAGCGAAAGATTCCAGCGCAAGGCAGTTCGTGACGCCGACTGTTCCTTCAAGGAATTTCGAAGCTTTCAATTTTAAACGTGGCAGCATCAAGAAGTCGGCCGCTATGACCAACTCTCGAGCGCTCGATGAGTCAGTTTTCGCTTCCCCATGTTGATAACCGCTGTTATTAGGCAGTGGAGAGCACTCAGAAATGAGAATAAACAGCTCATATGTTTTAATGGCGGATACCCAAC